AAGAATTTTCTTAGAATAGTCACTTTGTAATTTATTGTAAGACCATATGTTCATATCTGTAAGGGGTCATTTGGTATGATCTGCAGAGCGGTGAAATTTCCTCAAAATTTCTAGAAGCAGCAAAATCTTGTAAACTATCCCTTTCTTTTAACGAACGCCATTTAGTTAGAGAAAAGGGACCTCAGCTTACAAATACATATGGACTCAGGGATTGCCCATCAAGATATCTTTCTTCTCATGGAGAATACGCAAAAATAATCTTGGGATAAAAATTTAGTACAGCCTTGTCCCCTGTTTGGTTACGTTATCCCATGATTAAAATTAGTACCGGGATAACTTACACCTGCCAGATCGTGGAATAGTAATCCCAGGATAAAGCAGTAAAATTGACAATCCCAAAATTAATACTCCACTACATACCAAACAATCAATAAGAAATAATACCAGGATAATTAATCCTAACATAACTAATACAGTATAAATTATCCCTGCATAACTAACCCTAGCATAACTTGTCTTCAAACCAAACGACCCCTAACATATCTCTTTTTTTCTTATCTAACGAGATATCCAGTATCCAATTTTTTTATTTTTGTTTTGAAGTATTTCCCACTGTAATACATCTAGTACTGCATGTGATTTGCTTGAAAAAATAGTTGTGAGAATCTACCTACTTTAAAGTGTTTTGTTTAATTCTTCAGAAGAAGAAAAAAATGAAGTCTGTATACAGTTAAAATGTATGTATTGGTTAATACGCTGCAACAGATGTAGAACAGAATCCTACTACCATGTCTGACAGTACGACTTTGAATTATGCTAATTTCAAATATCATAGCCTTATCTTGTGCATTAATATTGATTATTGGTGTGTACAATACTTTTGAAATAAAAGGCGATCATTTTATACATTAAGACCGAAGGTTTTCTTGTCAAAACAAAATCTAATCTCAGCTTCCATAACAAAAGCACAGTACATAGAAACTCAGTTCCATCTTCAATCAATATACTAACAATCCCTAAAATATAATCCGAAGATACTATGAGCTCCCTTAATTCCTATTAGACATAATTGTATTACATATACAGTCCAATTAGATGTATTGCAACTCACAACATTAGCATTTTAAAAATTCAAATCAACACAGGTAGTATAGGAGTAGCAATTATGATTACCTCTACCAGTTGAATAGGCAATTAAGCAGGTGATTATAACCATCTTTAATAAAGTTCTTCCATCCATAACCTCTAGAAGCTAAATTCTGGAAAAATTTTAGATGCAGGGAAGATAAGAAGGAACGAACAAGGAAGAAAGGTCAAATATTTTGGCCTCAATATTTTATGTCCAGTAGGCGTTAGGTGCTTTCGTGCACTCGTGGATTTCCCCCTTTATAAATAAGGGTCGCCTTTGGAAAACGCCGTGATGCGGTGGTTAAACAGAGTGTTTGCTCGCCGTTAACGTCTTCGTGATATCGCTTTGCCAGGGTCGGATCGGTCTTTCCCTGCCTGTGCACGTTAGTTTACCCCACGTGAAAACGTTTTGCTTGGCCAAGTTAGCTTTTTGAAAATATACTTTTTGCTCGAAAATAAATTATGTTTAACTAATTAGTTTATGAGCAACAATTAATGTTTGATCTCGTGATTCTAAATATATATATTTTTTCAAAAAAATATTTTGTGAATAAACTATTTTTTCTGCTTTTTAAAATCTGCTTCTGTTTTTTTACTCAAAAGTAGGGGTGTACAAATCGAACCGGAAAACCGTACCAAACCGAAAAGTCAAACCAAGCCTATTAAAAAATCCGACTAGGTTTGGTTTGGTTTGATTTGGTTGGTATTGAGTAAAAAAAATTGAATCAAACCGACATATAAATATATAATTTTTGTATATACTTTTAAGATTTTATATAGAATTTTCTTTAAAAAATGTCTAAAAATATTTGGGATTCTCTTGCGGGATATAATATTTAAGGGCAAAATTTATTTATAGCCACACTCGGGCCAAACTTAAAACATCTAGTAGCCAAAAATTATAATATACATTTTATAGGCTAAAAATAATTCAGCGGCTAGCCACCAAATTTGACAAACTAGAGTTTGTCGGAATGGACAGCTGCCCACCGATATTGACAAACAGAGGATTTAACTATGTCCTTTCTCTTTCCCCTGTTTTCTCATCAGTTGGAGAAAGGAAAATTTATAAGAAAAAATATGTTTTTCTTCAATAAATTTCCTATTTTTCCCAAAAAATTCAAATATCCCACAAAATAAGAATGATCAACAAGATGATCGGAGCAGAAGGGGGTGGAAGACGTAGTTTTATTTGAGAATTATAAAGATGTTTGCTTTATTGGTTAAAGGTAAAATCTTGCAGAAAGATATCTTGGGGTTTTATGAATTTTCTGGTGAAATCTTGAGGCTTGTTCTGCTTTTCAGTAAAATAAGTAGCTGGGGAGTTCTGCTTTTCAGAATTTTGCTCTCTTTATTTGTTTGTTTAACCGTGAAGCACGGCAATTAACTAGAGGACACGTATAACCATTTACATTATTTTTCATTTGCAAGAATTGTGATTTTTAGTGTCAATAAATAATACTCCCAATGAAAATATTAGAAGTATGAATTAAGGAGAATTACATCAATCACCAATGTTGTCAATTGGCAAATTTTGTGAGGGACCAAACAATTATTTTCTTGACAAGCTATAATCTTTTTTGGCTTACATGGTTTCATCAAATTATAAAGAAGAGGAAATTTATGAAAAAGAAGAATATAATTCTGGTTATAACTTTTAAATTCAGATATGCAATTGGTCATTTGATTTTTCAATTATGTCTTGGTAAGTGGTAGTGTACAAGGCAGGAATGTGGTGGAAAGTATATACAAAATAGACTGTCAATATACAAAAAATATTCAAAATAGACTATCACTGTACAATTTATATACAATAGACTGTCACTATACAAAATATATACAAAAAATATACTAAATAAACTGTCACTATACAAAATATATACAATAGACCGTCACTATACAAAATATGTACTAAATAGACTGTCAATATACAATTTATATACAATAGATTGTGACTATGCAAAATAGACTGTCACTATACAAAATATATACAAAATAGACTGTCACTATACAAAAAATATACAAAATAGACTGTCACTATATAAAAAATATATAAAATAGACTGTCACTATACAAAAAATATACAAAATAGACTGTCAATATACAAAAAATATACAAAATAGACTGTCACTATACAAAAAATATACAAAATAGACTGTCAATATACAAAAAATATACAAAATAGATATTTCGGGTTATTAGATGCAATAAGTTTGAACCGAAGGGCCATTTCGCGTAAGTGGGTAAAAACATGGGTTATTAAAAATTTGAGAGGCTATAGAGGGTGGTTTTCTCAATATTTAATAGTATATGAAGTGTTTCATATCTATTAACCTTAAATAATAGGTTGTACGACCACTTTCTCATCAAGTGTTACTGAAATGCGTCAATCTCTTTATTCTTCTCTATTCATATCAAATGTTAAGATCTATTAAATTTTTATATATTTTTCGAATGTGAAGTGATTATTATTATTTAGGTATCATATTGATTTTTATGTTTAATTACTAAATTCGGATAACCTTGAAAGTGTACATCAACAAAAACTTATTGTCACGCGACTAAAAAAATAACTATTATGTGTTACTAAAAAATTCTTCCATGAGAATATTTTAATAGATAATATGTTTGTCAAATTTTTATATTTTTACTAAACGTATACTAACTTATAAAAAATTTAACAAAGTAAGATTAAAATAATATTTAAGTAACAAAAAACCCGACAAAACCAAATCAATTCAAACCGATATGGTTGGTTTGATTTGGTTTTGATAAAAAATGAACTAATCCGGTCCATGTACACCCCTACTCTAAAGCATTTTTTTTTACTTCTAAAACTTCGCCAAACATTTTAACTTTGAAAAAAATAATTTTGGTAATATCAAAAATATTTTTGGCCAAAAAGAAAGTTTGGCCAGACATGCTATAAGTTATTACGTATATAATTTTAAACGTTATAATCAATTTTCCTTATTTTGATTCATTTGTAATTAAAATTTAACCAAATCATGAAATCTTCGTAATATTATGAAATGGTTCGTGTGCATAAATTAATGAATTCTAATTTTTGTTACATAGACCTCCTGCGAATCCTTTAATTCTGACAAATCACAATTATGTGAAACTGAAGCATCCTAAATGATAGGAACGAATAGAAATAAGAATTTACTGATCATACTTAGATTAAAAAATCGAAAGATCGAATTGCATTAGAGTTCTTATTAGTTCCAATTTAGCTCATCAATTGAATCAGTTCACGAGCTAAATTTGAACGTCATGTCATGAGTATAATATTTCGTTGCATTTGTTAAAATATTTATTAAAATCTCAACTGTTGAAATTAATTAATTATATATAGAGAGAGAGAAGAGGGATTATTAAATAAGAAAAAAAAAACTCCCCATATGTATGAACTTTATACCCAGAAGCGGATCTAGAAATTGAAGTATATGGGTTTCTACCGCAATTTTAAGTCAATATATTACAATAACCGAATTAAGGAACGAGTATCAATATCCAACATATATTTAGAAAATAACAAAAACACTTGAAGACAACATATGAATATAAACAACATCATTACAATTGCACTGGACGACTAGTCATATTTTGAAAACGATCAATGATCGCATCATTAGGTACACTTTCAAATACTTCATCCTCTATATAACAAACTAAACAATCATTAAAAAATTCATCACCAATTCTGCTTCGCAAGTCATTTTTAACGTGCTTCATCGAAGAAAAAGCTCTTTCTACCGTTGCAGTAGCGACAGGCAATATCAGACTTAACTTTACAAACAAATAAACAAGTCTCCAAGTCATGTGCAAATTTGTTTTAACCAATGTCTTTGAAAGATCTCCAAGTCTCTTCAAGTTAGAGAATTCATTGCCCGCCTCTCGCACATAGTCAATATAGATGTCAAGCTCAAAACTAACATCCTCAAGCATAGAATCAGTGAACTCATTCGGTAGTGTGTAGCAAGTTTCATAATCTTATCTTTATCATAATTTGCAAAAGAATTATCTGGACTCAAACTAGCCATACCAAGAAGTAGATCAGTATTCACTTCATTGAAACGATTGTTAAGCTCCGAAAGTTGCAAATCAATAATAGCATAGAAAACCTCTACACGCAAATGATAAAGAATATGTAACACTTGATTTCTTACGCTTTGACTTTCCACGAACATAATCCATATCCATTTCGGGGATCATAATACCATGCTTGACACAAAATAAAGAGACGTCTCTTATCAAAAAATTCCATCTAGAATCTCTCATATCTTGTAATTGTCTCTTTGCGAAACCAACAAGCTTCATTGCACTTATAGTATCTTGATTTTTTTTTTTGCAAAGCCATATTTAAATCATATGTAAGTGCCAATACTTTCAACATTAAATGTAACATATACACAAAGTCATAGGATCTTATGTCATCCACTAGATTTTTTGTCATTGATCTCTCATGATAATTTGAACTGTCAATTGTAAGAACTCCAAGTACATGAACAATTGATGAGAATAAACTAATAAAATTACACACTGTCTTAAAATGAGAACCCCACCGAGTATCACCTGCCCTTTGAAGTCCAAGTTCTTGATTTAAACCGCTTCCTGTATGAACTTCACCAAACACTAGTAATTCCTCTAATTTTTCTGCTTGATCATCTCGAAGCATCTCCCTACGCTTAAAAGAACCTCCAACAATATTTAAAATATTTACAAGAATATCAAAAAATTGTTCGGTCTCATAATATTTTATTGCAACAAGTACAAGAGTTAATTGCAATTGATGAGCAAAACAATGTATGCAATATGCTGAAGGAGTATCATTCATAATCAAAGTTTTAAGACCATTAATTTCTCCTTGCATGTTACTAGCTCCATCATAACCTTGTCCCCGTATTTGAGATTTACTCAATGAATGTTCCAAAAGCAAAGAATAAACTGCTTCTTTTAATGACTTTGTAGATGTATCTTTAACATGAGCAATGCTAAGGAATCGCTCAATAACTTTACCCTTTTTGTTGACATAACGTAAAATAAGCGCCATTTGTTCCTTATGAGAGACATCCTTAGACTCATCAACCAATGTCCCAAAGCAATCCTCGTTCAAGTCTTCAACAACTATTTTTAATGTTTCTTTCGCACAAGAACTCACAATATCTTTTTGTATATTTGGACAAATTATAATATCATTTTTTGGAGCATTTTCTAATACAACTTTCTTTACATTATCCTTCTTATTTGTATACTACTTTAAGAGATCCAAGAAGTTGCCTCTTCTTGTAGAAGTTTCATGTTCATCGTGACCCCGAAAAGGCATTCCTTCTTTCAAAAGATACCTTGCAACATCAATTGAGACATTCAGGCGAACCCGATACTCACTTTTCGTTTTCTCGGATTGCTTATCAAAAGATGTTAAAATAGATTGTGCTTGATTCGATAAATCTAGCATCATCTTGAAACACCAATTATGAATACTATTCACTTTACTCACATGTGCGTTAAACCTCTCTATACCTTTATTCCAAGCCTTAAACCCAACTTTTGTAAAAGAAGCACTTACTTTTTCCCCATATCATCCTATCTCATCTTTAAACATATAACAACATAAGCAAAATGCTATATTTTCTTTAATATTGTATTCTAACCATCCAGAATATGAAGTTTTAAACCATTCCGGATTAAAATGACGCAATTTTTCACCAAAAATTATTTTTGGAAAAATAAAATTGCGAGGCCGACAAAGCTCTTTTTGAATGTAATGTCTTCTCACTCGGTCACGCAGATTAGGAGGAAATTCTGAAATTTATTTTCTTTCACCACGATCAGGTTTAAGAAGATTCTGATCCAATATAATATCTTTGTGTGATGGTTGGAAAGAATTGACATTATCATTAATCACTGGACAGGAAGGAGAGCTTAGCGAAGGAGAACTAGAAGTAGAACATGAAGAGGTTTGCGGCTTGAAAAATTTCTTGATCATATCGAGTCTCACTAAAATGCCCTACAAATCATAAGACACAAATTAAATATTACAGATGAATATAAGAGGAAAATAGTTAAGAAATATTATTTTATATAATATAATATAAGAGAAAAATAGTTATAAAAAAAAAATGAAGGAAGGAGAGGACCTACACTGGATCACTGCTTGTCTTTGATAGGCACAGAAGAAAAGTCAAGATTGAAGAAGAACGAAGGTCGAAGAACTAGTGGCTTGCAAGATTGAAGAAGAACGAAACCCTAACTTCTTTTTTTTTTGTTTTGGGGACATTTTGATGTGATTGTTTCTTTTTAGGTTCACTTTAGTCATCTATTATTATTTAAAAAATAGACTAAAGTGGAAGTTGTACTAACTTGACAGAAAGGGAGCAATATTTGTGTGTTTGATGTTTTTCCTTAGTGGAAGTACTGCTCAAAAACTTTGGTTTTTATCTATTTAATAAAAAAGACTTATGGGGACTCGAACTTGCATCAGCAAGAAGGGAAGCGAGCCACATCCGGGTTTCAAGATTTACCACTGGACCAGAAATGCATTTTGGAACTGGGTTCCCATATAATTATTGTTATATATTCAATAGATTTCTTAATACAAATATAGGATCTACACAAAAGCTATTGGGTTCCCGGTAACCCATACATAATACTGTATGTTAGCCCCTGTTTATACCTACTTGGTTCATTAGGTATAAAAATAATGTTGCTATTGCTAAGCCTAATCTTTAATTAAAAGTCTGCCAATAGTTATTATAAGTGGATACATGCCAATTTTCTGTGAAAATAGCATGAGCTAGTTAGTTTTTGGATTGGTAATCGAAAAATAGCAAACGTTAGCAAAGTCATTGAAAAATAGTCATTGTTTTGCTGAAAGTTCCGGCATAATATGCTGGATTATGGAGCTACTGCGTATAAACTTCTAGCATATTATGTTGTAACTCCAACACACGAAAAGTTCTAGCGTAATATGAAATTCCAGCACATTATGCCCGAATCTCATATGTAAAAAATTCGAACTCCAACATATTATGCTGGAAATTTTCTGGATTTTAAGGGTGTTTTTGTTCAGATTTTATCATTACATGAAAAAGTGACTAAATTTCGATTATTTTTGAAACTATAGGTATTTTCAATTACCAGTTATAAATATGGCTATTTCTATTTCCCCCTAATTTCCCTTCATAAATGACACCAAGTAGCCATTATAAAGGCATGCTATTTAGAAATTAGTCAATGTATTCTAAATTTCAGTTTTTTAGTTCGATTTCTCGGGACACAAATATCCTAAGTTATAATGAGATTAAGTTTTTTAGTTCAAATTTTCAGGACAAAATAAGTATTGGCTAATCCTTAAATAGCAGCTCAAGAAAGGCTGTTTGTGCACTTCCCCTTTTTTCTGGCTTCTTTCTCAATTGGACTAAAGCCCATTCTAAGTTGGCATACGTGGCTCAGCCCATAAACCTATCGGCGCTAAATTGCAGATCACCCACAAGTGGCGGGAAGTTTCATTTCCTAATGTAATGTGCTCAACAGTCGGCACGTTACCTCAAATTATCAAAAAGGAAAAAATCTGCTGATTTGGTTCCTTCACCAAGCCGCTACTTATATATTCCGAACCTAGAAAACTCTCTAGTTAGACGGCGAGTTCCCCTTTAGATTCAGGTGAGAAACCCCCGAATAGGAGCCATGGGTAAACACTCGAGATCCAAATCCTCGTCGTCGGAGCCTCCATCGGATAGTTCGGAGGAGGAACAAGTCCAGGATCAGGTCAATGAGGAAGAAGACGAAGAGGAGCTCGAGGCCGTCGCGAGGACTGCTGAGGACTCCGACGAGGAGGACAATGACGCCGCCACCGACGTGGCAGACCAAGACGATGGGGATAATGAGGTATGTTAATTAATTGTTGGTATTAGGGTTTCTTTTCTTAGGTTTTGGTGGGTCTGCCGAATTAATGCCTGATAACATGTCTCATTCTACTAATGTGTGGGCATGCTAGGGTTTTATTAGACTGAAGTTGTTTTTTCAAGCATAAATGCACATTCTTCAAATGATGTATAAGTTTGAGCAGCTTTCATGTTTTGACAAGCTTTAAGGCTATTTATTTTTTAAGTGACCTGGTTATGCTATGCTACCTGTAGGAAGAGGTTGCAGCCAATGAAATATCCAAGCGCGAAAAGGCCAGGTTGAAAGAGATGGAGAGGATCAAGAAGAAGAAAATACAAGAAATGTTGGATTCACAGAATGCTGCCATTGATGCTGACATGGTATCTCATTCAGAATATTTGTTGCTGGACCTTTTGTGTTCTGTTTTAGTTAAGAGTTTGTTCAATGCTGACGTATCTGTGGCAGGACAACAAGGGAAAGGGGCGACTGAAGTATCTCTTGCAGCAAACTGAGCTATTTGCACATTTTGCCAAAAGCGAGCAGTCTACCTCTCAAAAGAAGACAAAGGGAAGGTATGAGTAACTTCCTATGAGTAACTTAGTTTGATCCTTTTTTTGTTGTTAGCTTTGCTGAATTTGCAGCTGATCCCAGAGACTTATAAAGCTTGATTACCCAGAGCAATGCGTTTTGGCTAATCAGCTAGAATTTCTTTGTTATTTTATGTTAAGGTGCATGGAGTGAGCGATATGGATCTGAGGTTCAAGCGAGAAGAAAAATATATTAAAGTCTTTTATGTTTAGCTATTTGATACTTATTTACAATAGAATGATATCTTCGTTGCCTATTAGTGGGAGTTAATGTGCAAGTGTTCTCGCAGCATGAAATCAACATTGCATACATAGACATAGCTATTTTGGTATCTTCCTAAGGACTTTCATTTTGTTTGCTTGTTTGTTAAGTTGCTTGCTTTTCTTGATGTAAAACGATGCTGATACATTGACGGGCTTCATTGATTCCTTATGTAAATAAACAAGCTTGATTCCTTTTTTCTGCATGTTCTGCACCTTCCTGGTGTTTTACTTTGAATAAAACACGCTCCTTAATCATAAAAAGGATACAGTTAAATACTGAAACTCAGAACGTCGAAAAATACAACTTGGTTTTAGATTTGGCTGCTACCATGTGGTTTCAGATGATTATTTGTGTGGACGTGATTCACGCAATATGTTTTATGTTGTGTCAAATAAAGGCGAAAGTTTATGCATTAAACGGAGGTACTTCTGCATGTGGATTCTTTATGAGCCAATTTGATGACCTTTTCTTTCTCCAGGGGTCGTCATGCATCAAAAGTAACTGAAGAGGAAGAAGATGAAGAGTATCTCAAAGATGAAGAAGACGGACTTTCTGGGAATACACGATTGGTGGCACAACCCTCCTGTAAGATATAAGGGTGTTTGGACGGGCTTAAAAGCTTTAAGTTATTTTTAGCTTGTTTTAGTGTTTGGCAAACCTAAAAAGGTGCTTAAAAGGACTTGGCTTTTAGGCTAAAACAAGCTAAAAACAACAAGTTGGGTTTTGCTCAACTCATCACTTTTTAGCTTTACAACTATCTATGTTTGACCAAGTGTTTTACTATTCTATCCCTTATAATGTTCTATAATTCCTAAAATAGCCTTCAAAACAAAAGGCCTAATTCATACATTTCTTTTCCCTTCTTTCTTTCCTCCACCTTTCTTCCATCTCTACCATTTCACCAATCTCGAGGTTTGGTATGTAGGAAATTACATTTTTTGTGAGTTGGATTTTGCTCGGTTTCTTTGATTTGATATTGTTCCTTAGGATTTAGGATTAAAAAATTAAATAAAAAAGAGTTCCAAAAGCTCTGACCCACTTCTGCGCAAACTCGAACAATATGGTTCTGCTCTTCATATCTCCAAACTTTGCTGTGTATTTTTAACTTTTGTGGCTCTATATGAAGCTGACAGAGACCTTGTAGGCCTCGAAATGTTTTCATTCCTAAAGATTTAATTATTTAGTAAATTTCCTTAATATTGGCATCTATTGAAGAACCACATGAATTGAAACTATTTCAGAGTTTATATTGTTTGATTACCATTATGTATTGCTTGTAAGTTAACTTGAGCATGAAGTAAATGATATATTTTTTAATGAGCTTGCTTTTCTCTAGTTAATTAGACATAAATTAAGCGTAAAAAAGGAGAAAAAAGAATGTAAAGAGATTTAATATATACATGCCAACAACAACAACAACAAATCCAGTATATTCCCACAGGTGGGGTTTGGGGAGGATAGTGTGTAGACAGACCTTACCTTTACCTAGTGAAGGTAGAGAGGCTGTTTCCAATAGACTCCCCGGCTCAGAAAAGGTGAGAAGGAGAAGAAGCAGAAGAGGAAGAAGAAGAAAAAGAAAGAAAAGGCCAATCTTAACATATATGTCATGTAAAATAGGGACATTCAATTTAAAAAGAAGGGCGAGGCCAATAGTTGTTTCTTTAATCACAATTTAAACTCCCCGTCTCCCCCCAAAACACCTTTTAGTTCTTTGTATCTTTCTTTGAAAACTTTCGCATATCTTTCAACCTCCTCCTCAATTTTCCCTTCCATTTCAGCAGCAATACTTTTTAAGTCATTACGACCATACTTCTCACAAGCCCTGATAAAGGTATTGAAGTCTCTTCTACTCCATGTTGAAAATCCCTGGATATCACACTTGTCAACCTCCGACAACAATAAAGGTAATTATAATCCTAGGATGAGTTAATAGAAACACTTACCTCTTCCAATAGTCGCCCCTTCTCCTCCTGCTCTACAGCTGTTAAAGGCGGCTCTCCTGAATCTTCAGGTTCTTCCACCTCTATAGTGTCTTTAACCTGATCTTCTGGTGTGTTTGCTGGAATAAGTAACAAATATATACATGAAATTACACAAATTATACTAGTGCATAAACCATAAAAATATTGTATTTGAACAATTTAGAATTAAAAATATGTAGTATCAGCTCCTTCTTGTGTTAACAGATTTAAGGACATGCACTAATTTTAATGGAAAAAGCTGCTTTTTAGCACTTTTTTATCACAACTTATTTTCAACTACAACACTTCTATCCAAATACGTAACTAACTGCATATTCATAAAACCAGCTCCAACACTTAAAAAGTGCTTTTAAGCACATAATGTTTAAAAGTTGATGCACATGTATTTGTCATATGATGTTGTTACTAAACCGTGTAAAATGAAGTTGTTACTAATTTGGGAGATCCATCTTGAGAAGGCTGAGATCAGGTACACGAGCCTAGGTCCTACTTATAAGAAGTTGTTCAATTTATCATCCTATAAGGTGTATAGTTTGTGTAGCTCCATTCAAGGCTCTTTAGTCAAGTTGTCATTACAAGTAATAGTGCTTTGTTATACATGTGAGTAACGGATGCATGGCTGCACAGAAACTGTAGTCATCATTTCAAGTGCTACCTAGGAAGAATTCATGATGTTTTTGTTTGCACTTTATTCTATATAAGGTGGCTAAGGAAATAAGCTGGGTTCAGAAGGGTGGAGGTTTATCAATACCTCTGATCACCTTAGGGTTATTGAGCATCATTATGGACAAATGTGAATTTTAAAGAAAACCAAACTAGTGAGGTTTCACGTATTGAATTCTCCTGTACTTTCTTCTATATGAAGCCTGGTAGCCTGCTCAAAGCTCTAAACTTAAGTGCATTTGGGAAAAAACGTCATATTAAACAGTTGAAGTTGTAAATGCATTGGATAAATGTTTTTATCTCAGACAAATTCTCTGTTAATGCTTTCATTTCTTTCTTCTTTAAGCATCCAACGATCACATCCATAAATACTTTGTCAGGTATTCAAGGGAAGATGAGGGATTATCAACTCGCTGGTTTGAACTGGCTGATACGACTGTATGAGAATGGAATAAATGGAATACTTGCTGATGAAATGGTTAGTATGGTCATGTGGTATTGAGATGCTCCTTTCTCCCTACATTTTGTAATTATGACTTCAAGGAGAAGCATCATCATTTAATCCTCATATTATTGCATAGGGTCTTGGTAAGACATTGCAAACTATCTCCTTGCTGGGCTATCTACGTGAATTTAGAGGAATAACTGGTCCTCATATGGTTGTTGCTCCAAAATCGACTCTTGGCAATTGGATGAACGAAATCAAACGTTTCTGTCCTGTTTTACGTGCTGTTAAGTTCCTTGGAGATCCTGATGAAAGGGTAAGCAACAACTTATACCATCGTTCTTTTGCTTTCCTCTGATGAAAGGGTAAGCAACAACTTATATTGGTTCTTTTGCTTTCCTCTTTTGCACATTGCATTGCTTGTTCAGACTAGTCTTTTATATTTTATTTACAGAGATACATACGTGAGGAGTTACTTGTTGCGGGGAAGTTTGACGTGTGTGTCACAAGCTTTGAGATGGTTATCAAAGAGAAGTCTGCTTTACGGCGCTTTAGTTGGCGTTACATCATAATTGATGAGGCACATAGGATCAAGAATGAAAATTCTCTTCTTTCAAAAACAATGAGGCTCTACAACACTAATTATAGACTACTTATCACGGGGACACCACTTCAGGTGATGCTTTTTTTATTATTTTCCTCGCATGTAGGCTGAAATTCCTGATTTACTTGACCCTTTTATTTCTGCATCATTTTTTCCAATCTCCTTAAATGCAAATTACTTATCTGAAATTTCAAACTAATATGATATAATGATACTCCAACCTTTCATATTTCAAATACTGCTCCAACCAAAGAATTACTTAAACTATTTTCCAACTACTAATGATAAATAACCTGAGTAATACCTTTGATTTTTAATTTTTAGCTAGTCAAGCTTTATTTCCTATTTTTATAAATCAGTTTCCAATCTATTTGTTGTATCTTTGCTGCAATGCCAATGAGCATGTTATCTTAATAGTCCCCGGTGTGCATATATATGTCTGCATTCCAGCCTAATTGATGTGTGAATTCTATGATATTACACAGAATAATCTTCACGAACTCTGGGCGCTTCTGAACTTTCTGCTGCCTGAGATCTTTAGCTCAGCTGAGACTTTTGATGAGTGGTTCCAGATTTCTGGTGAAAATGACCAGCAGGAGGTGGTCCAACAGCTTCATAAGGTGTGTTGATTTCTAGTACGTAGTAGTTTCTATAATAGAGACCAAGCAGTATCTCTGATACATGCAGTTTGACCCCCCCCCCCAACCACTCACCCAAAAAGGTATAGAACAAGGTTATGGTTGAAGGGATGAAGACAGAACAACAGTTACCCTATGACCTTGCTGCAGATGTAATTTCTGTATTTTGAGACATCAATGTCCCACTCGCAAATATCTTGCTTTGAACTTTGAGGGAGAAGTCTTGTACCTGAGTTTTCAACTTTGGCTACTTGGTCAGGTCCTCCGTCCATTCCTTCTTAGGAGGCTGAAGTCTGATGTGGAGAAAGGCCTGCCTCCCAAAAAAGAAACAATTCTTAAGGTTGGTATGTCCCAGATGCAGAAGCAGTACTACAAGGCTCTGCTGCAGAAAGATCTTGAGGTTGTCAATTCTGGAGGAGAGCGCAAGCGTCTTCTCAATATAGCAATGCAGCTACGTAAATGCTGTAATCATCCATATCTTTTCCAAGGTGCTGAGCCAGGACCTCCATATACAACAGGAGAGCATCTCGTAGAAAATGCTGGTAATATTTTGATTCCTTTGGATGCATCTGGGTTGTTGGTTTCTATTTACAGTTTCTGCAGCAGCTTTTTACAACTTATAATTCATATGCTTGATGTAGGGAAAATGGTTCTTCTAGATAAGTTGCTTCCTAAATTGAAGGAACGTGGCTCAAGGGTCTTAATATTTTCACAGGTTTCCCCCTCTAATTTTCTTTGGTTTTGTTGCGCCTATCCGAAGTTTCAACAGCTTTCTGGATGCTCAGTTTTCGGACTTAACCCTTTCTTTTGATTTTCTAATTCAGATGACAAGGCTATTGGACATCCTTGAAGACTACTTGATGTACAAAGGTCACCAATATTGTCGGATTGATGGAAATACTGGTGGTGAGGATCGTGATGCTTCTATTGAGGCTTTTAACAAACCAGGGAGTGAAAAATTTGCATTCTTATTGTCAACCAGAGCTGGTGGTCTTGGTATCAATCTTGCTACAGCAGATGTTGTTATTCTTTATGATAGTGATTGGTGAGGATCTCCTATATTGTAGGTTTTGTCAACCCAGGAAAGAGGACGGTATCTGAATCTTATCTTTGCATTATTGAAACTGCAGGAATCCACAGGCTGATTTGCAGGCTCAGGACCGAGCCCATAGGATTGGTCAGAAGAAGGAAGTCCAAGTATTCCGCTTCTGCACTGAGGTTCGATTTCTTTCCCTGATGTGTTAATGCACTGAAAAGATGCTGCTTTGGGATCTTCTGGTGATGTAGTGAGACGTGCTTTTCAAATTATTCATTCAGTATACCATTGAGGAAAAGGTGATTGAAAGGGCTTACAAGAAGCTAGCACTTGATGCATTGGTTATCCAGCAGGGGCGGCTAGCTGAGCAGAAAGGTGAGGTTATCTTTGCATAAATTTCCTTCTCTCTATAGTGTTTGAGATGCATATGAAATCACTGACTGTTAGTATCATGTGATGCATAACACAGCTGTTAATAAGGATGAGCTGCTGCAAATGGTGCGATTTGGTGCTGAAATGGTTTTCAGTTCCAAAGATAGCACCATTACTGATGAGGATATAGATAGAATAATTGCTAAAGGAGAAGAGGCAAAAGCTGAACTTGATGCCAAGATGAAGAAGTTTACAGAAGATGCTATCAAGTTTAAGATGGATGACAGTATGCACTTTGCTTCCTGATCATTTCTGTTTGTCTCTTGCAATTTGTTGTGCTGCTTTAGTTATAAGATTGCTGACTTTATGCAGCTGCTGATTTGTATGACTTTGGTGAAGAGGAGGTAACAACACTTGTTCAGTTTTCTGGTGACTCCTTGCTTTGTTAGCTACTTTTCTGTGTGTTTCACTTGCCTTTCTGCCTTTGTTTTGTGTCAATGAAGGATAAAAACAAGGTGGATTTCAAGAAAATTATCAGCGACAATTGGGTAGAACCTTCAAAAAGAGAAAGAAAGCGCAAGTATGCTTCTTTTGTTGCTGAATTTTACCTTTTATGTACTGAAGCTTAGTTTATCATCAGTTAAAACATGACTCTCCTTTGCTGTTAGCTACTCAGAGTCTGAATACTTCAAGCAGACCATGCGTCAGAGCGCCCCTGCAAGACCTAAAGAGCCTCGGATCCCTCGGATGCCTCAGCTGTAAGTCCGTGTTTGCACATTTTTCTACTTTTCTGTACTACTTTTGTTCTCTCCTGATTCTGTTGGGCCATACATAATAGCATTTAGAAATGAAGGTTCTGTGACTCTATTTCTCTGGCAACCTCATTACTTTTTCTCCTAACGACAGTTCTGGTTATACTTATCATTTGTAGGCACGATTTTCAGTTCTTCAATACACAGAGACTGAGTGAGTTGTATGAGAAGGAAGTGCGCTATCTTATGGTTGGTTAAGCTTTGTATTTCTCAAGTTTTTCCATTGCTACCCTTTCATGTGCTTTTTTGTTGGATTATATATTTGTTACTTATTCCAGCAAACACACCAGAAGAATCAGGTTAAAGACACTATAGAGGTGGAAGAACCTGAAGGTTTGAGACTTATATTTCCATTTAAAAGAACTTCATTTTTTTTTTTCATTTCTGTAAAATTTTAGGTCTGCTTCTTCTGAATATGTCTTCAAAATTGTTTCATGTATATAGATGCAGGAGAGCCTTTAACGGCTGTAGAGCAGGAGGAGAAGGAGCGACTATTGGAAGAGGTANTTTACATGACATGTTTGTTAAGATTGGCCTTTTCTTTCTTCTGCTTCTCCTTCTCACCTTTTCTCAGCCGAGTTTCTATTAGAAACAACTTCTCTACCTTCACTAGGTAGGGGTAAGGTATGTGTATACACTACCCTCCCAGACCCCACCCGTTGGAATATACTGGGTTTGTAAACAAGTATGCTTCACCCTTCTTTTTAAATTGAATGTCCCTGTTTTACATGACATGTTTGTTAAGATTGGCCTTTTCTTTCTGCTTCTTCTTCTTCTCCTTCTCCTTCATCTTCTTCTCTTCTCACCTTTTCTCAGCCGAGGGTCTATTAGAAACAGCCTCTCTACCTTCACTAGGTAGGGGTAAGGTATGTGTATACACTACCCTCCCAGACCCCACCTGTGGAAATATACTGGGTTTGTTGTTAAGATTGGATAATGATTAGTGTTACCAGTGTTGTGAAGAGCGTGAAGCGAGGAAAAGCGACAACCCCCATTTCGCTTAAAGCGAGAAGCGAAATGCTCACTTTTTTGAAGTGAAGCGTAATTTAAAAAAAATAAATTAAAATAAATACTACATAGACAACACATGTAACTGTAAGCAAATGTTCAATACTTCAATGTAAAAACTAAAGAGTAGCATCAATTAAAGCACAAAATGAGCATCATATTCTTCTACAAGATTGTCAAATTCTTGTATTCCACTATCATTATTATATTACTCGTCATCTTCTTCAACTTCTTCTTCATCAACTAGGGACAAAGTAGCTGCTTCTTTTCCCTTCCTCTGTGAACTTGAAGTTGAGGTACTCCTCCTCAAACCATAAATCCTCTCCCCAATTCCACGTGCCTCCGCAACATCACCCCAAGTGAAATCAGAAGTTTCTTCAAATACTTTTTCATCTGCATGATCTTCCGAGACTCCAGTTAGCCATTCATTAGCATCATCGATGTTGTCCAAACTAATTGGATCAATTACATTGCGAGCGTTGTAACGACTCCTCATTGAGACTAGATCATTGAGACGCTTCAAGGTTAGTTTGTTCCTCGTTTTGGTATGAATCTGCAAATAATAAGTAATTAGTAAGATTATGATAACAACAATAATAACCCAGTATAATCCCACCAGCGGGGTCTGGGGAGGGTAGTGTGTACGCAGACCTTACCCCTACCCTTGGGTAGAGAGGTTGTTTCCGATAGATCCCCGGCTCCCTCCCTCCAAGAACTACCCACCTTGCTTTTGGGGTGACTCGAACTCACTACCTCTTGGTTGGAAGTGGAGGGTGCTTACCACTAGAGCAACCCACTCTTGTCAAAAATTTAATTATCTCAATATACTAAATCTTTTTTCTTAGTTTTTACATGTTCAAACACGCTCCAATTCCTTTCACACCCGGATGAGCTACAGGTTAGACTTAGAACCTTGATGACAAACTTTTGTAATTCTGGAGTGGAATGGCCATATTGCTTCCACCATTCAACTGTAGAAGTAGAACAAATATTCAAAGCATAATATTGATGAAGAAATAACTTATTAACTATAAAGCAACATATAAGCACTCGCTCACCTGGTGACTTTATACATTCAATGTATCCCTTCCACAATTCTTCATCTCCTAGAATCCTCTCTTCATTGTCATAAAACAGTTCCGGGTTCAAAACAAGTCCAGCTGCATGCAAAGGGCGATGAATCTTACCGTCCCACCTTTTATCTATGATCTCAAAGACTCTTTTGTATTTTCTTTGATCACTAAAAGAGTTTTGAATAGCCTCCTTTGCCCTATCCATTGCTTCGTAAAGGTAGTCCATTGGTGGCCTTTGCTCCCCATCCGCCAAACAAAGCACTTTAACTAAAGGACCACCAATCTTCAATGCATGAACCACATTGTTCCAGAATGAAGTAGAAAGTATAATATCTGCATATTCTCTCCCTCGAGCTTCCCTTCCATAGGCACTGATAGTGTACTCATCTGAAACAAACTTCTTTAAATTGCTTTTTTGCTCATACATCCTATGCAAAGTCAAGAAGAGGGAAGAATATACATGTTGCTGCTGAATCTCTGTTGAAGTTGAAAAGGGAACCCTAGTCGCCTCTTTAGAATCTCTGTTGCTGCTGGTCGTGTTTTAATAAAAGAACACTGAACGCCTTTCTTTTTTAATTAAATAGACTGGCAGCTATTTAAAACAGAAAAGCGCTCGCTTCGGTCGCTTCGCTTCGTCGCTTCTCGCTTTTTAGCGGGAAGCGCACGCTTTTGTCTACCTGATCCTCTTCATATAGCAGAGGCGGTTAAAGGGTCGCTTCGTCTTGCTTTAAGCGAGGACGCGACCGCTTTTCACAACCCTGAGTGTTACAAGTATTTGGAACATGTGAGAGGACATGAAACTCTTTTGACGCAATTTTTGGTTTATGTTCTTGGAAAACAGTTTTCTGAAGTAGTTTCTGGAAATCTTCTTTGAATATTGATGTGTGATTGCATTTTTCCTGGAAACAGAATGAAGTTTGGATTGGAATCTTGTTGAACTAGAAAGTTAAAATTGCAGCGTATCATTTTATAAAACTATAATTACAAGCCATTTTTTTTAAAAAAGAAAAAAACTATAACTACAAGCCTGCCACATAATTAATTCCATCTCCATTGTGAATATTGTAGCAATTCATTAGGACTACATGCATTAGACTAACAATACAATGTACAATAGCAATATAAAAACTGGAACTAACAAAAGGTTAATATAATTTTAGTCCTTGAAAGAATAGAATAAGATACAACCAGTGTTTTTGAGAGCGAGAAGCGCAAAAAAGCGACAGGGGCTCGCCTCGCTTCAAAAACGAGGCGCAAAGCGAAGCGCACGCTTCATTGAAGTGAAGCGCAATTCTTAAAAAACATAATGTAAACCTTGCAAAGACACAATATAAATAATCAAAGAGTTCAATTTATATATAAGAAAGAAACATAATCAAATAAACTGAAAATAATAATTATTTAACTTTATAAATTGAAATACACATACAAATTAATAAATAAAGGCTAAAATACTAAATAAAAAGAATAAAAGGAAAAATAAATCGTGCTTGCCCCAGCTGTGAGCAGACGCCTGGACGGGAACAAGAAGAAGAAAGAAGAAAGAAAAAAAGGAGAAGGAGAAGGAGAAGAAGAAGAAAGAAGAAAAAAAGAAGAAAAATTACCCGGAGTATTGGAGGAGGTTTCTGGCGACTTGAACCCTAGCAGTACTCAACAACAATTGATTTTGGGAAGAAGAGAGAAATGGTCTTTACTTTGGTCTTAGGGATATGTTTTGTATAATAAAAAAACAGACCCAAACTTTTTCTTTTAAAAAAACTGACCTCTTTGAACAGAAGCGAGCGATTCTGCGCTTCTCGCTTCAAGGTCGCTTCGCGCTTTTTCGACTGAAGCGAGCGCTTCGTGTGGTCGAGTCGCCTCAGGCATGGAAAAGCGAGCAGCCATCGCTTTGCATCGCTTCTCGCTTAAAGCGATCGCTTCGTCGCTTTTTAAAACACTGGATACAACAACAACAAACTCAGTATAATCCCACATATAGATTGTGGGGTCTGGGGAGGGTAGTGTGTACGCAGACCTTACCCCTACCTGGAGAGGTAGAGGCTGTTTCTGATAGACCCTTGGCTCAAGAAAATGTGATAAGGAAGAAAAGGGAAGAAGTAAGAGGGGAAGAGGGAGACAAAAGACAATAAGGAAAAAAAGGGAGAAAAAGTAGCATCAAATAGTAACAATCAGGGAGCAATAATTTTCAGTAATAGGGGAGAAAAAGTAGTATCAAATAGTAACAGTCAGGGAGCAACAATTTCCAGTAGCAGTTTTCAAACAAACAACAATGGACGTGGTAGCTAAGTACCAGATACACTAACAATCTAAAAGAAAGTATCTCTCAACCAACAACAAGGATACTACTAGTACTACTGGTAAACCTAGGAGGAAGTCACAATTACTTGTCAACCCATCACCTTAATCTTCGACCTACATACCTTCCTATCGCTAGTTATGTCCTCGGTTAGGTGAAGCACCGACATGTCCTGCCTAATTACCTCTTCCCAATATTTCTTTAGCCTACCCCTGCCTTTCCTCAAGCCTGCCATGTTCAACCTCTCACACCTCCTGACCGGGACATCTATGTCTGTCCTCCTCACATGCCCAAACCATCGCAGCCTCGATTCCCGCACTTGTCTTCCACGGATGCCACTCCCACCTTGTCCCTAATAATTTCATTCCTAATCTTGTCTTTCCTGGTATGTCCACACATCCATCTCAACATACTCATTTCAGCTACGCTCATCTTCTGGACATGTGACTTCTTGACGGGCCAACACTCAGCCCCATACAACATAGCCGGTCTAACCACCACCCTGTATAACTTGCCCTTAAGTCTAGACGACACATTCTTGTCGCATAAAACCCCCGAAGCTAGCCTCCATCTCATCCAACCCGCTCCAATGCAGTGAGGAACATCCTCGTCAATCTCCTCGTCGCCTTGGATTATAGACCCAAGATACTTGAAACTATCTCTTTTGGGAATGACTTGAGTATCAATCTTTACTTTCACTTATTCTTCATGCCTCTCGTTGCTGAACTTGCACTCCAAGTATTCAGTTTTCGACCTACTCAACTTGAAACCTTTGGACTCCAGCGTCTGTCGCCACACTTCCAACCTAGCGTTAACACCCCCTCGCGTCTCGTCAATCAGTACTATGTCATCAACAAATAACATACACCATGGCATCCTCCCTTGTATGTGTCGCGTCAGCACATCCAACGCTAGGGCAAACAGAAACGGGCCAAGGGCAGATTCCTGATACAACCCCATCTCTACAGGGAAATATTCCGAGTCTCCTCCCGCAGTCCTCACTCAAGTCTTAGCACCTTCGTACATGTACTTAATCACTCTAATGTACGCTACCGGGACTCCACTAACCTCCAAACATCTCCATAGCACCTCCCTTGGGACTTTGTCATAAGCCTTATCAAGGTCAATGAAAACCATGTGCAAGTCCTTTTTCCTCTCTCTATACTGCTCCACCAATCGTCGCACAAGGTGAGTGGCTTAAAAAAGTATTTTGGTCATAATAAAAAGGAGGAAAACTAGATGAAATTATATTTTTATAAAAGGAAGGGTCAAAGTGATAATGTTGACAAGTTTATGCAAATTGGGGAAGAAAAGGGTTATTTCTTGGTTTTGGTTCAGATTAGAGCAGATATTTTAGTTATCTTTGTGTTTCCAAAACCCAAAAATTGAATTTGAAACCAAATAACTTTGTTTGGGTTTGATTTTTGAAAATGTCTTCCAATCCAAACACCACTGAAAAGAAAACTTGTACTGCATAGAGTAAGTGGGTCCCATGCAACTGTTTTGTACTATCATTTTCTTGAGTAGGAACTTTTTTTAAAAGAAAGTGAACACTGTTTAGGACAAGTAAGAGTATCAGTAGTAATTTGGGATGTGAGCGTATTTAAAGGTTTGTAATATTTATTTTCTTCAGTTTATGTGCTCTGCTAATTTATGTCGCAAAAGTAGGATAGAAAATTCACTAGGAAGATCTTGATAGTTGGAGAAATATAATTATTTATGAGTTAATATTTGCATACATTTCATGTTGAGCATGTAGGTTTTGGAGAACTGTAGTTTAGTTTAATGGATATGATGCTTGCAGATTATGACAGGATTATTAAGAACATTGAAAGAGGAGAGGCTAGAATTTCACGGAGAGATGAGATTATGAAAGCAATTGGTAAGAAGTTGGATCGATACAAAAATCCATGGTTGGAATTGAAGATCCAGTATGGTCAGAACAAAGGGAAGCTGTATAACGAGGAGTGTGATCGTTTCATGGTGAGTGGACTGAAATTCAGGGGTGAACTTTTAGGATTTAATCCACTATCAGGAAAATGATTATATAGGTTATTTCTATAGATATGTATGGTTCACAAGCTCGGCTATGGAAATTGGGATGAGCTGAAGGCTGCATTTCGCTCATCACCCTTGTTCCGGTTTGATTGGTTTGTGAAGTCTCGTACCACTCAAGAACTTGCCAGAAGATGCGATGCACTTATTCGGTTGATTGAGAGGGAAAATCAAGAATTTGATGAGAGGGAGAGGCAGGCACGCAAAGAAAAGAAGCTTGCGAAGGTTAAACTATCAACCTCTTAACTCATTCTTGGAGGTAAATATGTCTGATACTAAAAATGAATTTATATCAACAGAACATGACTCCATCAAAGCGCACCTTGGCAAGACAGGCAGCTGAAAGCCCTCCTACTTCGAAGAAGCGGAAGTAATTTTCAATGGATGGCTATGTCATCTCGGCAAGTATTTCTTCTTTGAACTTATTGTTGCACCATTTACAAATTCTTTAAAAGAGTATCATTTTTGTCTAACCATGGTTTGTTCCCCTTTGCAGGGAAGTAGGAAATGAGAGTAAAAACGAGCACTTATTTATTTCGTGATCTAATCATCTGGTACTTAATTAAGAACGTTATGCAATTAGATCCTCTGGTATTTTTTGTTTTTTTTTGGGGGTGGGGGGTNCAACTCAGGGACATTGAGATTCCGTCCGTGACAATATCAGACCGGCGGAAGAAAGATTGGATTGCAATTTGTTAGTCCATTGGTAAATGCAAGTCCATTAGCCTAGTCCCGTAGCTGTAATTCTGCATTCCGATGGAGGCACCTTGATAATTTACTGTTTTTAACTGGTTGGTACCTGACTGGTACGGTAGCACTTGTGAAGTGACGAATCTACAAGTTGTTCTCAATGATGGCTAGTAATGATATCTTTTTATTAACTAGTGAATTTAATTGCGCGTCAGTTAAAAAAACCCTAAACTATCTCACTTTAATAAATATATTGATTTTTAAATCCGAATAGATAATACTTCATGTTTCTAACTATTTCATCAGTAACTTAGGTTTATATTTTGATCTAATGTCACTCGAGAGTTCTTGAATTTGAGGGGAAAATTGAATTTGAGGGGAGAATTGATCTCTTTATATGCAGATGGCTAACAAATTTTAAGAAAGTTCTTTATTTGTATAGTATTTAACTTTTTCCTACCATTTGTGAGTTTTCAAAATGCTTTCATAAGTTTTTATTATTGAAAAAATCTAAAAAAAAGAGGTTGTCTTGGCAGCTCTTGTGGACACCATACAGATTGGCTTGTCTATAATTGACAGTATATATAAGAGTATTTACATCCAAGAAGAGTAAAGTAGCGGTAAATAAAACAACCCATAAACTTGAAGTACTAAAAAACATTCAAATGCACATTAGGGTTGATTAAGCTTGCTACCTCATTTTCAAAGTTAAATAAATAGCGCTTTCTAATTTATAATTTCATAATCTTAGCTTGCCAAAGCTTTTGAACAATACCCATAAAAGCGATGATGTAGAGACATTGGGATACGTGAGCTTCACATTTCTGGTGGACAACCATGTCTTTCCCTCAATTCCTTCTAGAAAGAGAAAACTCTAGCATTATCCATTTATGACCAAATTTATTTGGAAACTGGTCACTGCACAATCCTATCGATAGAAATAACAAAAAGGTATCAGAAAGAATAATATAATGATATAAATTTAAACATATCACAAATTTAATATGATATAAAAAGGAACTAAAGTTTCAATGTTTAACTTTTGGGATTCTTAAAATAATGGAATTTTTACATTCCTATACACTATTTGAAATTTTATTACTCTACTCAAGTTTCAATTTAATTACATTATATATACAAATTTACCAATTATATACATTTTAGGAATTAATGAGTATCCATTTATATTAAGAATCAATTATTTCTCATCCTTATTCTCTCTCCCTCATGCTCTCTCTCTCTCTCTCTCTCTCT